ATAGAGCAGGGTATAGGCCTGTTGTACATAGGGTTGCAATGAGTCACGAGCACCTCGACAGCACGTAACATCACCAACAACAACATAGTGATTATACAATGATTATTTCTAACTTTTGCAGTCCTTTCAAATTTCCAGTCTTAACTGTCCTTAACCTGTCCTACCATGTTCCTAAACATTTTTAAAAAATGAAAGATTCTTTAACTCCCTGAAATATAATCAACTAACATATCTATACACTATGCTGTATTAAGAGGATGTTCACCATGCGTGCAAGCTTTCCAGCATATCAGGATGAACCATTTGAAAATAACAACACAGGGTGTTGGCTTTATAGAGGGTTGATTCTTTTTGGGGGTTTTTTGTTTTTGTTTTTTGTTTGTTTGTTTGTTTGTTTGTTTTTTGCCTACAAGAATGGTAGTTCCATATAGGCCAAATTATCACTTTGTTGGTGTTGGTGTGTGCAGTGGAGTAGAATTGATCCAAATCTGACCCTCCAACAGATTTTCGGGGGTTTTAAATTGCAGAGGAGGAAATTATCCGTTTTTCTCCCAAGCAGACTTTAAGCCATATGCCTTAGGTTTGGTAGAATCAATAATCTATAATATGCTGTGGACTCAATTCTCATTGATACTTAAGATCGCTAATTGTTAGTTTTCACCACTGAAAAACCAAAAAATTCATTGCTATTAAGTCAGAACTCATAGCTGATCCTCAAATTACAAGAGAGGAGATTGCCCATCTTCAAATCCCTTGGAAGATTTGAATTGCCATAAAGGCTATTGTTTAACCCATGAATATTTTAAATTTTTCTTCATCTTTGTTTTAAATAGTACTTGACAGCATTAACCAATCCCTCTTAAATACTATCTATTATGCTATTAAGTGCCATTGGATACACTAAGACTCAAAGTAAACCTTACCCTATCCTCACATTTTTTGTCATGCTCAAATCCATTGTTGCAGTCACTGCTTCAGTCCATCTCATTGAGGGTCTTCCTTTCTTTAGGTGACCCTCTACTTTTCTAAGCTTCATGTCTTTATCTAAGCACTGTTGCCCCTGACAACATACTCAAATCCTGTGTAAAGGAAGTGACAATTCTTGACCCTAACGAATACTCTGGTTACATGTCCTCCAAGATATATTTGTTTGGATTTATAGATTATATATTCAATACTTTTTTAACAACATCACATTTCAAAGCCAGCAGCCATTCTAAGAGAAAGAAGGGCAGTTTCCTGCTGTGCTGATTACATCCTTGGAAACTCACTGGAGGGTCAGTTATGAGCCAGCCAACACAGATGAGAGGAACAAAGAGAATTCTTTTTTTGGTTATATTTATTGTCTAGCATTCATATGTATACAAAGCAATTTGGTCCATTGTATCATAATATTTTTTTTAATTGTGATTTTAGTTGGAGTTTACAGAAAGGATGAGTTTTCATTCAGTCATTGACACAAATTTTTTCCCCTTTC